AATCCAGTCATCTACTTTTGGGCATTTGGGCTGCTTCCATGTTTTTCCAATTGTAAATAAAGCAGCAATAAACATGTGGGTACAAGTATCTTTTTCAATCCTTTTTACTGTTAAAACAAAGGGGACTCAGAGACACCTGCCTGAGGATAGCCTGTAACGGGCGGTCTGCCGCTGAGTTCAGACTGAGTCTGGAGTCCTGCTCAGGGTCTGGCCTCATGTGCCCCCTCCTCACCCCACCCTGGGGTCCTCCCCCGCCCTCCCAGCTGGATGTGCTTGCAGAAGACTAGATGCTCCTTCCTCCTTGCGAGGTCACCTGCTTGGCCCACAGGGCTTAGGGTGGGCAGATCCCTACCTGTGGAGACAGCTCCCCTGTTTGCCCACCTCCCCTGTTTGCTCTCTGATTGACCCCTGAGCCTTCTGACCCCTGAACCTTCTGCACCCTTCCATCCCCAGGCTCTTCGGCACCACAGGAAACTGTGCTGCCTGCAGCAAGCTGATCCCAGCCTTCGAGATGGTGATGCGGGCCCGGGACAACGTGTACCACCTCGACTGCTTTGCCTGCCAGCTGTGCAACCAGAGGTGAGTGCTAGCCTGGGAGTAGACCAGCACATCCACCAGGCCCCAGCTGATGCCTGCTGGGATGGGCCTGGGTCAAGGTGGAGGCATGCAGGCTAACGTGGGTTCTGTGTGTCTCCGTGGCTGTGTGTGCATGAGGCCATGAGCCTGCCCAAGCGTTTTCTGTAAGCCTAAACCCCTTAGAACTGATGTGTGTGTGTGGGGATGCCTCCTGCTTGAATGGAAAGGACATGCATGGCTTCCAATGCATGCACAGGGTGAGCGTCACATGTGTGTGCATTTTTAGACCGCTCAGCCATATTGCCATCGTGTGTTTTAAATGTCACGTCCGCGCAGGTATGTGTGCATGATGGAATCAATAGTCACGTGCACGTGTGCTTTCAAGTGTCCGTGTGCGATGGGCATGTGTGTAGCTGTGTGAGCATGGCTAGCGTGCATGTTCAGATGTGTTTGAAATGTGTGTGCCACGTCTGTATGTACACCGTATGCCCTGCATATGTGCGTGAGCACGCCTGTACATGCTAGCAGGAAGGGAATCCCAGACCTGCAGGACAAGATCCCTTCAGGGAATGGCCATTTACTGCTCACACCACCCCATCCTGCAATTCTGGTTCCAGCTCAGGCTGTTTTCTAGTCTTTTGATGCCTACTCTGCCCCAGCCTTTTGTCCACCCCCAGCTATCCAATAAACCAGAAGCTTCCTGGGTGGAGGCCTAGCACCAGTAGACAGGCCCTATCTCAGGGGCCCCCAGGTCAGGTAAGAGTTCATATAACAATGTGCCCAGAGGGTGAGGTCCAGAGATGTCTGCAGAGCACAGGTCTGCCTGGACCAGTGGTCAGACTCACTGCTTGGGGGCTCGGTGAAGTTGCAGTGCCACCTGGTGGCAAGACTGAGCTCTGCCAGGCCTGGACTTGTGACCCTGGGGTCCTCTTGAAGACCTCAGCATACTGGGGACTTGGGGCCGGGGGAAGGGCTGAATTCTCCAGTAGTTGAGAAAGGCCGGAAGGAGGGGCCAGTCTGGCTTTGGGTAGTATGGAAGATGGTGGGACAAGGTCATCTCTTCCTGGGAAGAACCTCCCCAGGTTCTGTTTAGAGGAAGAGTGCCTGACACTGTGCCATCCTCTTCAGGAAGGGACAGGAAAAGGGGGGTGGAGAAATCGACCATTTTATCCTTCCTTCCTCCCTGTCTCTCCTCTCCATCTCTCTTCTCTCCATCATCCATGTCTTTGTCCCCTCTCTTTTTCTTCTCTGGGACTGAGGTGAACTATTCCTAAACCTTCCCAACCATCCTCATTCTTTCACTGGAGACCAGATGGTGGAAGGCCCATGGTCCAGGCTTGTCTGTCTGTCTGTCTCTCTGTCCTTCACCCTACTCGCAGGGTCTGGCCAAAGGCTGGCCTGACCCAGGGTGATGAACCAGCTTTATTGCGGTACTTTCGGGGGATCCCCTCTGGAAAATTCAAGAAAATTCCCCAGGACCTCGCCTCTCCCATGCCTGCCTCTGGAACCGGGCTGGGTCCTGTCTGGAGCCCACGCTACCCACTGGGACCCTCCATGGCCTCTCTCTCCTGCTTGGATTTTCCAGATTTTGTGTGGGAGACAAATTCTTCCTGAAGAACAACATGATCTTGTGTCAGATGGACTATGAGGAAGGGCAGCTCAATGGCACCTTTGAATCCCAAGTTCAGTAACGCCCGCCCGGCACCTGGCCTCCAGGCTCACCTGTCTGTCTGTCCGTCTGCCGACCGCCCACTCGCCCAGCCGGCCAGCCACTCTCCTGCTGCATCAGAACTCCTCCGTCTTCAGTGGGAGGGGCGGCCTTTCCTCGCCGCTGCCTGTCTGTGTGTGACCCCTCCTGGGGCTGGGCTGGGCCTGTACAGTCTGTCTTCTGTATATAAATGGGAACATTTATTTTATGAGAAATGTAATGCGATTTTATTACTGGCGTGGATTAAACTTATGAATGTTTCCGGGGAGGTTACTCTGCGTTGATCACGTGACTGACACAGACCTGGGGCCCTTCCCTCTGCTGGAAGTGAGACTGGGCCTCCCTTCTACCTGGGTGGGGTGGGGCACGGGAGCAGGACATGGGTTCCAGCATGTGCTGTGACTGTCAGCTGTCACTGAAAGGGAGGAGGAGCTTAAGGATGGTGCTCCCATGAGAGGGGGTTCGAGATTGGGGTTGTACTGTGGAAGAGGCCAGGGCTAGGCAGTGAGCCTGTCTGGGGACCTTCAGGATTCCTGGTGGGAGAATGCTACCATGTTGCTGGCAGGGGGCTCCAGGTTGCTTGAGGAAGAAGAAGATGGAGTGAAGGGGACAGTTCTAAGCATCTCTATCTAGAAGTGGGAACTGTCACGGCTTCCCCTTTCCCTGGCTGGACAGGTACCCTGGCCCTGACCAGGCCCCCCAAGATAAAGAAGACTAAGATAAAACCTCTGTCAGCCACCGGGCAGGGAACTGGCTGCTGGGTGGGGCTGGGCCCATGTTATGCTTCCCCCTTTCTGTGTGATATTCTCCCACCAAGAACCCCTGCATGACCCTGATAGGCCCCAGGGCCCAACCTGGCCTCCTCCACAGTAGAACCCTAAATCCTGAGCCCCCTCACGTGGGAGTACCATCCCTAAGCCCCTCCTTCCTTTCAAGGTGACAGGCAGGCAGCATTTGCTTTCTCTACCCAGCAGTCTGGCCCCAATCTGGGACCCAACTTTCTGCTCTTTGGGCAAGCCAGAACAGTCTTCTTTCCCTGTAACTGAGCCCACACAGACTGAAGATTTTCATTCATTCAACCAGTAATCCTTAATCCATTCTGTGACAGTCCCATGCACCAGACACCAGGATGAATCGTGGACCAGATACAGTCGATGCCCTTGAGAAAAGGGAGAAAGCCAAGGACAGAAATGGCTAGAATGCAGAGGGGAGAACCAGGCAGGCCAGCTCCCTGTGTGGACACAGGGCCACTGGTGATGAGCTCAAGAGTCAGAGACAGACCAGTGAATGGACACACCATCAGGAGGACACGTATCCTGGCCAGCAGGAGAGATGGTCACAAGCACATGGTATGTAGGCAGAGACGGGACAGACACGCCATCTGGCAGGATCCAGCTCAGGCCAGAACAGAGCCAGATAGGACACTTTCTACCACCTGCTGAGCTAGGCTCACCCACAGGGTTGGGTCCTGGCTGCAGTTTGGAGCTGAGACGGTATCACTGAACCATATTCAAGAGAAGCTCTTTGCATCCAAAGCCTGACGAGCAGAGGCTGCGTGGGTAGGCCCTCCCACCAGCAGGCCCCTGCTCCTCCTTTCTCAGGAATGTTTCTGTGCTGGCCACAGCCCAGAGCCCAAGGTTCCCAGCAGCCCATTGCTTCAAGCTCAGTCAGCACTCAGGCAGGAAACTGGCTGGCTGGGTGGGGCTGGGGCCCCATGTCACACTGCCTCCGGCTGCCCCTCCACTTTGGGTTAGGTGGGTGACCACTGGGCATTTGTGGACACCTGGATGAGTTTTTACCTCCAAGTTGCAGTTTTGTGGCCAGTGGCCCAGTCTGTGAGAAGGAGTTGCGAGGACCAAGGATCACTATCAACTCTGAGGCATCCACTTACTATGAAGGAGCCACAACCACGTGTGTGAATTGACAGGGGGCAAAGAGCCAGATTGTCTGGCCTCTGTGATGTGAGTCTGATGTAGCTGGTAGTTGTGACCATGTGAGCTTATGAATGAGTTGGAGGCCTGGAGTCCATAATGAGGCACTTTGTCACACAACTTGAAAACAGCAATGATTTTCCTGGATTGTAGGAAACCCCCCAATGCCAGAGCCTTCCCGGGCCCTCAGGTCTAGGGTGACTGTGCCCACACTAAGGGTTCCAACTCCTAACTTCAGAGTTTGTTGCAGATAAAGTCATAACACAAGTTAATTACATGGTTATCGAGAGATAACGGAGCCACTCGAATGCAGTTTCTGGGCAATTACAATAGTTTCCAACAGAGTTACCATATTGCAGCCATGAAATAACATGTCATTTTGCAGTAATTATGTAATTAACTTGTCTCACCACTCTAGGTTGCACAACAATTAATTCACTCTCAATGAGATAGACTTAAGTCAGCAGCCAGGCTCCAAAAACCCCCAAGAGCTGGCCTTCTGGAAGATCCCAAGCCCATTTGCCCCATACCAGACCTTGCCAGGACACTGCCTCAACTCCATGTGGCCTAGAACACAGCAAGTCCAGGTCACGGCCCCACGACAGCTCTCTCGCCATCCTCATCCAAGAAATGGGGACGATCTGTTTCCCAGAGCAGCCATGAGGCTCAGATCTACACAGTGAAGTGCTGTGCTTACATGAGCTCAGTCACCCCCTGGACATCATGAGGTCCTGAGTAGGGTGCCTTTCACCCACGCCCCTAATCTACAGGCACCTCCAAGAGGAGGCCACATGAGAACCAATAGGCATGTGAGGTGCATAGGGGAGACCCAGCACTCCCTATAGCAGGGCAACTGAGGCAGGGCTGTAGTGACTACGGGAGCCTAGGGTGATGCCCTGGAGAGGACTGACTACCCACAGGGTGACCCAGGAGAAACCTGACCTCCTTCCCAGCCACTGTGATGGAGAAACCTGGCTAAGTGTAGGGCGTGAACAGACCTTTCAGGTTTTCCTTGGAGCTATAGCATCCCATGTGATTGGGGTTGAGGAAGCCAGAGAGCACTAAACGTGCACTGTTAAGAGACTAGCAACTGGAATCTCAGTCTGGGACATGAGGTGGTAAAGATATGGACAGACGTTGTAGTATAGCTGTGGTGCAGGCTGTATCCCATCGGACCTCATCATCTCTCCTACTTTCCTTGGTAGCCTGGTGCCAGATGCCCTAACGAATGTCTTGGATCCAAGCAGTATACCGGAACTCCTTGACCTGAAGCTGGACCATGGAATCACATATGGAGAGAAGTTGGATTCCAGTCTTGACATTGCTGCACAACCCATTGTAAAATTTCACATGGGTTCTTTCTTCCCCTTGGCCTGGTCTGCATGGGGCATTTAGGGGCCACAGGCAAAATCCACAGAAATTTCCCACACAAGCAATCTCATTTCTATGTGGAGAAAATGGCTCTCTCCTTTAAAGCTGTCAGAGATGGTCATGGCTGCCACCAAGTGAGGGTAGATTTGGAAAAGATGCTTTGTAGCTGAAACTGCATCATTTCAGTTACTGAAAATTCCAGTGAGCAAATGCTATCAGTCAATACTTAACTTTTAAAGCTAAAACTATAATTGCCACAAAATGAAAGAAGATGGGCTAATATGAAGATGAGTTGGTCTGTAATAATACTTGTTCGAATCTGGTTTATTATGAAAAAATTACCAGGTGACCCAAGTACACACACATACCCCTACCCCAGAACATTGCTAGTTAACTTAGCATCATCCTGAGCAAGTCATCCCTGCACCTGATCCTGGGAAGAAGATGTTTGTACAGCCTTATCCCAGCAAATGTGGGAGCCTCCTACCCACCAAATATGAGCTTCTCTAGGGCTTTTGGTACAAGTAGATTATTCTTGGACTCTCTCTTGTTGGGCCACTTTTTATGGCTCCAAAATACCCCATCTTACCAGTTGATCTGTCCTCAGCTTGGCCTCACCTCCCCAATCCTGTCTGCTCCTCAGAGGCCCTGATGGTCTCCAGCCCTGACCAGTTCTTCCCTCTGCACTGGGTTCAGTGATCACACAGAAATTTCACCTTATTTTCCACCCTGTGGTTTTCCCCTTTCACTACCTGCACCCCCTTCTTGGGGCACAGGACATCCTTGCTTGGGCCTCTGGTATGTGCCAGACATTCAGACCCTCTCTTGGGACTCAGGGTTGCACCTAGGCAGGAGAATGCAGTTGCTGCTGAAAGCATCCACCAGGACTGCTGGAGCGCAGGCAAAAGGAGACCCTTGCTATGAAACTGCTGTAGCAGGACAAGGAAGCATCTGAAGTGCTAAGAGACTGGAACAGATTTCAGGCCACATCTCTTGTTCTAGTAGGTCTCTCTGCTGCACTTAGGAAACACGGAGTTTCTTCCCACTGCAGGTCCAAGGGCTCTTAGAGTCACCCCGGCTTCCCTTCTCCTGTCTCCTTCCCCATCTGTCACCACAGATCAGGAATCCAAGATGCAGCAGTTATCTGAGATGGACTGAGCTATAGAGACAGGAAGAAATGAGAGAAGGAAGGAAAGAAAGGAGAGAAAAGAAAGGGAAAGACAAGAGGGCGGTAGGAAAGCGAAGGAGCAGAGGAGAGAATGCTTGAGAGCTCTAAGTGACTAGAGGGAGGAGGTCTACGCTAGACAGAATGGGAAGGAATGACCTTTTCTTCCCCACTTTAGTGACCATCCTTTACAATGGACTCATTTAGGGAAAATTGAGGCCCAGGGAGGTCGTGATGGCCAGAAGCACAGTGGACCAGTCTGGACTGGGACTGTGGTATCCTTGGCCTCCATCTGACCCAGAGCTGGCTCCTACATCTCAAGGCTTGCATTCCAGCCCCAGCTCCTGCTCAGGCACACAGAGTCGGGGTGGAGGGGGGAAGCATCACCCTAATACCTACTCAGTGCTTCGCTTCCTTTATTTTCTAGGTTAATAAGAAATATTCCTTAAAGGTGTTGTATGGGTTAAGATTCAGCAATATCATGCTATCACCACTATGGCCTGAGTTCAATCTCTAGCCAAGAAGATACCCACATGGCACAGCGGACCTCTCATCATGCCCACTACTACTCCCCTTAGCAGTGTATTTTCTGCAGATCTGCTTCTTCTGCTCCCCACTCTATCTCTGGTGAATCCTCTGAACCCCCCCCCACCTACATACCTCTGGCCTACACCCCAGTTCTATGCATAAATACAAATAAAATTTTAAAAAGATAAATATTCCTTAAAATACCAAAATCTGGGCTTGAGCTCTTGGCTGCCATTACTGGTCTCCCTGCCACATAATGCCACTAAATTGGGATGCTT